TATTCCTCTCAACATATTTTTAGTAAAGGAGCTAAGAACAATTGGGTCTACCTACTGTCATTGTTGTTATTACTATTAGGCCCAATTCTGTATGGTCTATATGTGGCTCCCAGACATCAGACTCACTACCCCTTACTTTCTGCAACTCACATATGAAAGAATTCCAATCTTTTCTCTGTGCTGCTCTGCTTCAAGAAGCAGGTGTATGGTAGCTTTTTCTTATTTATTTAGATTGTGCATTGCCTCTAACATAGAGTCCCTGCTTTAGTTGATTTTGCCCATGATGGTTTCCGCTTCCTGTGGTTGTTATGCATTCACATGGCATGATTCTCCACTCATACCAATGTTAACATCAGTGTAACTCCACTGATGCCACTGGAAGAATTTCAGAATTACAGCAGAATCCAGCCCCACAACATGTGGGGGCATTTTAGCAAAATACAGACACAACATGTTCCAGAGGATTTCTTCATAGTGTGCTTTTCCAGCCCTCATAGCAATGCCTATTAGACTTTCTTTATCAAATCATTTTAATTCTATCTCAGTGTAAAATAATTTACTTGTAGAGTGTTGAATAAGAAAATAAACCCTGATATATTGAATGATTTTGAATAAAACTTTCTAGGGAAAGGAGTTACAAAAAAAATTTCCCTCCAGGTACCAAAATCTGCTTCATCTCATGCACTTTATTTATGGAATGAATGAAGGAAGGGTTAAACTTTCTGCAGGGTGTAACAAGGCAGCTTTTATGGCACTTAATTTACCAGAACAAAATTTCTTTGATGAGTCAGATATCACAGAATCATCCAACAGAAGAGTTTCATATCTAGAGAGGGAATGATTAAGGTCACTGGGAAAACAAAGAAGAAAAGCCTGCATTGATGCCCCTGCTACTAGAGCCACAGATTAACATTAGAGCTTTCCAAGAGTGCTGGATACCATATTACTTCAGTGGAGAGATAAAAATATTTGTGCTTAGAATTAATGTTTGTATTTTTTTGCAAAAAAAAGCACTTTTTTCATTTTCAAATATGGAATTATGTATGAGACAAAGTTGGGAATTTGGAGTGACAAGGGGCTGTGTGCCTGGGAGCTACTCCCAGTTCACTGGCAGGCTGAAGGGGAGCTAAGAGACTGGAAATTCTGGGTGAGTTGAGAATTGGGCTTTCCCCAACTCCTGGAACTTCAGTAGCCTGCCTAGTGAACTGCAGAAGATCACCTCTTTATGCTATTAGAGCACTCATCTGCAATGAGGGAAGCTATGGTTCAAATTCAAGCCTCTGTGTAATTGGATTTTTAACCCAGGTCCTCCATCTCCTAGGTGAATGCCCTGGTCATTGGGTTATTGGATATTCTGGGTCCTTGTCAATGGCTTCTGTTGAATCTATTCTGTTTTCCATTAAATAATTACATATCTATTGGGCCAAAGAGGGAGAAAAAACAGGAGTCTGCCTCTGTGGACTAGATCACTTGGGAGAGTTAAGTTCTAGGCCTTGATTTCAATGAATATCCAATAGGTCAGTGGTTGTAGGACTTTCCGGGGTTGTAGACATTCAGTTAAGCAGAAAATGGATTTGAACTCCACAGTCCAGTATTGGCCAGTGATGTTGAAGAGAGTGTGACAGGGTGCCTCTCCAGTGGGGGACGGGACGGACTGTGAAGCCCCTGCAGCCTTCACTCTGTGGGCAATCACCCATTCAATCACCCACCATGCCTTGATGTTTGTTACTTTTATGAGGGAGACTGCCCCAGGACTTCCCAAATTGCTCTCTCAAATGACCGCCAAGTGCCCATGGTCACTGCCTTATGGGCTAGTTGCATAGCTCTGTTCTACCCCTACACCATGCCCCATGCCTTGCAGATGACATCCTCATTACTGTTTTCTTCCACTTAGCCCCTCCTCTGGAGTTCCTGGACCCTTGCCGGTCCCACACTCTCAGCCTCTCAATGGGGTTCCTGGACCCTTGCTGGTCCCACAATCATAGAAAATTAGGGTTGGAAGAGCCCACAGGAGGTTATCTAGTCCAAACCCCTGCTCAAAGCAGGACCACCCACAACTAGATTATCCCAGCCAAGGCTTTGTTTAGCCAGGTCTTAACAACCTCCAAGGATGGAAATTTCACAACCTCTCTGGGTAACTTTTTCCAGTGCTTAACTACATAATATCTTCCTAATATCTAACCTAAACTTCTCTTACTGCAACTTGAGACTGTTGCTCCTTGTTCTGTCATCTGCCACCACTGAGAACAGTCTAGCTGCATCCTCTTTGGAATCAGCCTTCAGGTAGTTGAAGGCTGCTATTAAAACCTTCTCTCCTCTCCTCTCCTCTCCAAGATATTATATCCTACCTAAGCTTATATTTTAGCTAAGCCCGGCCTTCTTCTAGCATCAGATGATGCCATAATCAACCCTGGCTCTACCTGCAGGCTGCCGCAGCACTAGCTTGCCTGCTTCTTATTGTGGCAGGAGCACCAAGTCTCCAGAAAGCACCAGAATTTCCAGATCCGTATGTTTTCTGTGGGGTACAACATTCCTAAGGGCACACCTACTGGACAGGCAGAGGTGATCATTTATTAATTCTACAGGGATTAGATATAAGACGGGTTCTGAGCACTTCTGCACTGCCAAGACTTGGGTGGTATTGCCCATGCCCAGCAGACCAGAATTAATTACCTCCAGTAATAATGGATGTAAGTTTTGGCTTCAGGAACCTACAGTGTTTTTAAGCATTTAAGTACCCCTTCTGAATCTAACTCTAGGAGGCTAGATGCTTCACTGCATCTGGGGATCCTACAGTGAACATCAGGGTAAAGGTGTGCAAAGTGATCGGCAGCTAATTGTTGTCCTCTCCTGAGGTGTGCCAGTCTAGCACATAGCAGAATCCACAAGCAAAGGGCCAAATTAGGGGCTGATTATCCATCAGGCCTAAGGAAGCCCTGGACATAGTGCCTTTGTAGCTATTTTTTCTTGCAGAATCTCTGCACCATTTCTGTGCCACTGGATCCCTACCACACTGGAGATTTTCTCATGATTAGTTATACTGGTTCTACAGTTAGATTCTGCCATCAGTCTGGTAGAGTGACCACATATCACTGGAAAATCTGACCCAGGGTCTTTTTTTCTGTCTAAATTCACAGGGTACACAAGAGGCAAAGAAGCCCAACTTTAAAGGAACTACTAGATAGTAGTATTGCCAAAACTTCTGGCTGGATGAGTGGCATGGGGTCAGTCTGCAGGCAGGATCCCATGAAGGGTTGGTGTGTAGGATCAGCCCATGGGAGCAATCCAGTGCATTGGCCTGGCTCCACGCACCTGCATATAGCCACATGCTACTCTGAACCCATACGCCTGAATCTGGCAGCCCAAACCTGCACAGTCAGATCTAGCCACATGACAGCCTGACCCTGTGCACTGGTATGATCTAGCATACATGACCATGTTGTCTGGCCTTGCGGACTTGCCACTGCTCCCACCACTACTCTGCCACCAAATTTCTGGAGCCATGGAGGGCCCAATGGGTTAGATGACATGGCTTCTCAGGCTGGATCTAGCCCACAGGCCAGGGGTTCAGCACCACTGTTATGCAGTTTTTATGGGGAAGCTACATTTCATTAAAGCTACAATTTCTCTCTCAGAACATATGAAACAAAACAACACAATTGCTAGGACTGGAATTCTGAAACAGCTGGTTTCTAAAAGATATTCTAAATTATAGGTTTCAATATTTTTTATCTCTATCAGATTTACAGATTATTCAGGGTATGCAGTAGTTCTCCCAGGAAGCAAGCACGTAGAACTGAGAGTCATGAAAAGTGGCCCTCCTCACTGATTAATAGAGGATGAGGTTACTGTTGCCCTTTTACTGAACAATGGATGGAGGCATATTTCATTGTCAGAATGGTGACAGATGCTAGCCCTCTGAGAAGCTTAAACATATGTAACTTGGCTGACAATAATTGGCCAACTGTGTGTGTTGTAGTTTACATCTTAAAACTCAAGGAGATTAACAGTTTCTTGCTACTAGTCTCTAGGTTTTTAATTTCAATTGAAAGGGAAAATGTTTCTTGTCTACAATTGAATGCCTTCCTTCCAATTCTAACACAAGAAAAAATATTCTTTCATCATTGAAATTCTGTTAAAATTAGTTTAAATTGTAATAGAATAAACTTCAGATTTTGTTTTCTGAATTAACATGAGGAGTCATTAAGATTTCTTCTATTTCCTACCACCTTTGCACTTTAAGTGAATTTGGAGCTCATAAAATGCCAGGCTGATCTCTTTGGAAAGTGCAATTCTCTTTTCGAGAGGGGGAGAATGAGTCTGTATTCCACAGTTTGCACTCTTGGCAGTCTCAAGAGAACAGAGAAGGAGTGAAAGTTCATTTCTCAAAACCAGGGTTTTTTTAAATTCTAGATGCGATCCCTCCACGGTAGGATTGAGGTACATCCTGTCTGGTTAGTGTGCACAAGCACCGCCATTGTCACTGACCTTGCTAAGTTTGACTGTAAAAATCCATATTCAGTCTTTATTGCTCTTATTTTGCAAATGGAAGCTATGTAAATCTCACATGTAGAATTAGCAACTAATAGTCACTTTTGAAATCAACCTTGAAAGGATCAGTTTCCACAATTGTACAGCAGGGTATTCACATTTGAAAAGTTGACTTTTGTTGGAAGAAGAAAGTGGCTCCTAGCTAGCAAGAAGGCTGGAAGATGCATATAAAGATGGAAAGCAAAAAACTAGAACTCTTGATTCCAAAATACCTTTTATTAGACCACCTGGAAAATGGCAAGAAAATTGTCCTTTTCTGCAAGCTTTGGGGATCAAAGTCCCTTCATCAGGCTCTGGGAAAAGTGTAGATGGTACAAGATGGTAAAAAGTCCCCATAGGTAGGAAATAAACTTCATTTTTGCATAGAGGGAGCTGAAGATGGAAGGCTGTCCCTTTGGGTCCATGAGAGTGTCTTTGTGAGCTGTGCTGAGTAGCTCTTTGATATGTTGATCAGGTAGAATTCCTTCCCTGGAGGTGGCAGGCAGGGAGGTAAAAAAACTTCCTTGTTCTGCAATAAAGTTTAAAATCCAAAATAAAGATGGAACACACACACCTTGCCCTCTACACCAAGCAGAGCTCAGCTCGTCTCAGGATCTAGCTCCTAAAAATAGAAAGAAAATGTCCTATTGCCCAGATTGGTACTTTTTAAAAATCCTTTTAGTCATACTCCCAACTTCCCTCACTACTAAGCTATAGTCTATGGAGGCTTGGTAAGCTACATAGGACCAGGAAATACCAGAAATATCAAAATATGAAGATGAAGAATGTTTTGCACACACTGCAATCACTCAAGAGCTGTATGATGCAAGAAAAATACAAGAGAAACATGTGGGCTAGCATTTTTAGTTTACACCAGACTAGAATTCAACAAATCTGTTTTAGACAAAGGCAACAAGTATACTTAGAGTCTGATTGGGAGCAGCTCTTCAACACAGATGTGATGCTTTCTCCCATGTACATACTCCACATTGGGTTCAGAGTTGGGGGAGTGGATGTCCCAAGCTGTAGAATTCCAAGGAGCCATATAGTTACTAATGAAGTATTAGGATATTGACAGCCTCCACATTCTACCCATGTATACACTATATTTTTTCACATACAACATGTTCCGTTCCTCCAAAAATCAGCCCCCCAAAATTGAGGTGCACCTAGTAAGCAGGGAAGCTGTTTTCTTCACTGGAAAAGCAGCACACCTGGAGACACTGTGCGTCCCATGCTGATTGTCTGGCTCAGCAAGCTGAAACGGAGGAATCCTTTATTAACCCTCTTACAGCTGTAGCTGTTGGCTGAGCACTATAGCTTGCCTGAAGCAGCAAGTGAGTTACTGGTAGTATCTTGATGAGGCCTGTGATGTAAACTACTTACAGTAAAGAGCTAACAGTCTTGCTTTTGCCTTTGCAAGGGCCTGGGGCCTAACCTTCTGGAAACGCAATATGTCTAGGAAGTGTGGCATCTAAGGATGACAGCAGGCAGCAGGAACTTTATGCCACACCAAGAAGTGTTCCCTAATAGTTAGGGCACTTGCCCACGAAATGGGAGACCTGAGTTCTTGGTTCCATTTAGTTCAGAGCTTCTTAACCAGGGTGCCATGGCATCCTCGGGTGCTTTGACTTCCTTTCAAGGGTGCTGCAGGGTATCATGCAATGTTAATACTGTTAGGTGTACAAACATGAATCATAAACTAAGCTCAGAGATTTCAAATAGGAATCCATAGTGTTAAAATCATTTTGACCTGTTGGGCTCTTTCTGTTTCCTTTGCAACGGAAGAGTTACTTTAGTATTTTTCCATAGTCAAAAGCCAAGTAGAAGCTAAGAGCTGGCATATTCAAAGGGTGCCCTGAATCTAAGGAGGAGTGCCTTAAGTTTCACAAGGTTGAGAACCACGGATTAGTTTGAGAGGTGTTGAACTCAGATCTCCAACTTTTTAGGAGAGCACCCTAACTAGCAGTAGATGGGCTAGGGCAGGGCTGCTCAACCCCTGCCTTACAGGCCAGATCTGGCCCATTAGAATCAGAAAATTAGGGTTAGAAGTACCTCAGGGAGGTCATCTAGTCCATCCTCCTGCTCAAAGCAGGACCATCCCCAACTAGATCATTCAAGCCAGGGCTTTGTTGAACTGGCATTGTACCATATCATCCAGCCTGAGGGACCAGAAATTTGGTGGGCAGCAGAGAGTAGGGGCATTGCTCCTCTGCTGTCAAATTTCTAGACCCATGAGGAGCCCCAGGCCCTGTGCACTGGATTGGCCACTTGATCCCCAGGCACAGGGCTAGGTGAGGGCAGTGCTGGACCCCAAAGCCCAGTCCTGGTGTGAGTGGCCAGGAAGGGGCAGTATCAGGCCTCTGAGGCCCAGTCCTGGTGCACAAGGGTGGGAGGGAGCAGTGTCAGGTCCCTGGGCCAGTCCCAGTGCATGGGAGGGGTTGGTGCCAGACCCCCAGGTCCCAATCCTGAAGTGCAGGATATGGGGAGGCAGGCTGCTGGGTCCCAGAAACTGATCTCGGCGTAGGGGGCTCAATCTGGCCTGTGGACTGGCCCCATACCACTCACCTGGCCCAGGGGCCAAAAGGTTGAGCACCACTTGGCTAGGGAGAATTCAGAGGATCCTCCACCTTTCCTGTTACAGCTGGCTCACCGGGCAATTTATGGTGCTAAAAGAAGAGAAAGTAAGAGGGAGTGTGACCCTGTGGCTTATGCTCATTGGAAAGAATACAAAAATATCACTGGGGGCAGGGGTGAAAACCCAGGGCTCCCTCTTTCCCAGGGAATTGCCTGCCTCACAAGTCCACACCCCCACTGATATGTCCTCCCTTTAGGCCACTGAATGTATGATACGATTTCTCTTATGAAACCACCTGCATGATCTCAGTCTCAAGCAATCACTCAAAGTGTTTTTTCTCAGTCTAGTGAACTGGGGGCTTATGTACATCCCAGATGGAACAGGATCACAACAGACCTTAGGTGGAGTTAGATATTTGGTATCTGCTGAGGCAAAAATGCATTCTGTATTCATGATGACTTTGTGGTACGGACAACAGGATGAAGCCACCAAATTTCTTTTCACTTGCAGTGTGAGTTGAAGTGCAGACATAGGCCTCCTCCAAAGGTACAACGTTAACACACTCGCACAAATTCCTTTTCCTCACTTACTTTTCCACCTAAATTGCTTTTAAACAGATATAAAAACATTAGGCATACCTTTGCTATGTAATCTTGGCTCTCTTTTGAGATCATACTTGTCTATGAATCATTGAACTAATACATGAAGAGTCTGCCTAATAATCATAACTTGGTATGTAAGACCCCATGTCAGGACAAGACTCTGTTGGTTTCCTAAAAAAGACTGAGAAATCTAGAGCATGCCAGATGTGAATGTGTTTGTACTTAAAAGATGTTTTTTGTGAGCAGTTCTCGTAAGTGATGTTAAAAAGGAATTAATTCAACCCTTGCTCCTTCCTGCCAGGAATTTGATGCATCATATTGATGAACCCTTGAGAAAATAATGTTGTTTTAAATATATCTATATTTATGCAACTTAGAGTTGGTGTGGGGGCAGAGAAGACACAAAGGTAAGTGTTAGGTTTCCCATCCTCACTCTTCTAAGGAGTGTGAATGAACAAAGTTTGTACTTATAGTGCTACCCAAGGATAGTTTAAAGTAAGAAAAAAGATAATGCTTCTAAAACCAGGCCTATAATTACTATTTATTTCAGCAGCAATTTGCCTTTTTATGGTGCACAATATTTGTTACCTAGGCAACTTGTTTCTGTGGAGACCCTGCTCAAATTAAAGTAAATCAGGCAAGATCTAAAGTCAATATCAATAATATATTTTAAAACCAAAGGCCAGAGAGCCATCAATTTGGCCTCAATGCTGCATTTTTTTAATTATGTACAGATACAGCAAGACAGGAATATTTGCATCCAGACGATGCTTTTCTCTACTGCCTGACTGATTTGTATTGTATATATTGAAAATAAAGTGAAATTTACCAAAATCCTGCTATTTTCAGTTGTCATATAGGAAAGAATTGTGTGTTTGTGTGTACATATGTATTTATATATGTACTACATGCAGATATGAGGACTAAAAAAACCAAGAGTTTTGTAGGGTCAAAAATAATGCATGGTTTAATTTTAATCTTATTCATGAAGTAGGATTTTCATTAGCAGACTGAGCACTGTGGCATAGTAATGTCTACCTAAGATCAAAGGGTATGACCCTGTATGCATCACAGACAACTGAAAATATCCTATCACTTCAATAGGCCAGGATTAAGCTCAAATCCAGCATTTTTTAAATAAAACTCCAAACTAACCCCCCCGTAAAAGCCAAGGATGAAAAATGTGAAAAAAACATGGAGAGATTGGGGTTGACAAGGATCTAATATTTTGGCGTTTTAAGAAGAAAAATGAAATTAAACACTTGTAAAGAAAGTAATGTTTTTGCAAGTAGTGTTGGTTGGTTGAAAGTCTGTAAAACTAATATTTTAATTCTTTAATCATAGGGAGTAATTTTAATGAATTTCCCCTTTTGAATTAACATAGAAAATGTAAATCCAGTCGGTGTTTAAAAGAGAAGAGTCCCAGTCAGGCCAAGATTATGAGGACCAAGAAAGCAGAACTCCTTTTCTCCAAATGTTAGACCAATGTTTTCAACTTAATGGCTAGGAACAGAAATTACACATAAATCAGTTTAAGTGGTCAGAAACTGGTTTAATTCTGTAACAGAACAGAAGCTCAGTGCGCACAAACCAGTTTCACAGTGGCTGAAACTGGTTTAAGATAAATCTGGTTGAATGTAGTATCATGCTTACCTGATTTGGATCAAACCGGTTTATTAAACTTCAGTTTAAATTGCAGTACCCCAGCATCCCAGAATTTTGCAGCCTTGGACTGGGTTGGACTGTCTCTTCCAGAGGGCAGGGCTGGCCCTGCCCCTGTGCTCCCTAACTGAAGCAGTGAGGGCTGGCTGATAAGGGGCTGGGGGGCAAGCCTGGCTGGGGATGCAGCCCAGTCTGCAGACAGGGAGGGGAGGGGACTGCTCCCCCCAGGCAAACCCCACTTGCGGTCTGGGGCCAGAAAGGTGAGTTAAACATCCTTTCCCCCACTCAAACTTAATGCTGGCTGCAACTGTAGACTACAAATCCCAGAGACACCTGGAAGCAGGAAGAGGAAGTGATGAGTAACCCTGCAAAGTCCTGCTGCTCTGATTTTGGACTGCAAATCCCAGAGACCTTGGGGGCAGCAGGAAGAGGAAATGAACACACAGCCAGAGAACCCTGCTCTAGCACCCCCTGGCTACTGGCCTGAGCCACTACAGGCATGTGCGTGCATTTCCTGAATCAAAGGTAAATGTCTGTTCATTTCTGTTTCAATTTAACCTGTCCACCTTAGGCTAACCTACAAAGAATGAATTGATTTAGCCTCAGGCTTTTTGACTGTCTATACTTAGCCAAAATGTTACTTTTTGTTACTTTTGCCTATAATGGTGCAGATTCCTAGCTGGTATT